GGGGGGGGGCAACGAGGCCCTGATTTATGTCGGACAGCGGTAGCGAGGTGGGTGTGGCCACACTGTGGCCACACTGTGGCGGTGCTTGTTGGCCAATGCGGCACGTAATCAGAATTATAATACCGCGTGATGTGGTGCGTACGGCGCGGCGTGGCTCGCGTCCAGCCGAGAGCAGCGCGTGGTGGAGCCTCGCGGAGCAAGACACCTGGGCTGGATCATTGATTGTGCGAGGCAAGGCCGCGGTGCGTTTGTGTCGGAGCCACCTGCACAACACAAGAGTGCAGCACAACGCACACCAGTGCCCTCCTCCTCCTCCTACTCCTCCTGACGTCATAAATTTTCATGAAAACGCAGTTTAATTTTCCTTTCCGTGCTCGCGCGTGCGGAGCTTTATGCAGCGCTCCCCTTGTGTTTGTTGGTGACGGAGCTGCGCCGCAATACTAATCGTAAAAGCATCGCAGCGCTCCCCGTGTGTGGTTGTGCTGCGGGGGCCCAGCCCAGTGCTTGCGCAGATTGGATTCAGATCGCTATCGCTTGCTTTCGGGGGCTTTTCACTGGACTTTGATTAAAATCGTTCGCGGCTCGAATCACAGCAGCAGAGCGCGTTCCGATAATTTTCTGTTTAATCATCAGAGAGCATGATGTTGATGACGATTTTAATTTTACAACAATATTTGAACAATTCAACAAGAATAATCCTACAGAAGAGGGCAGCAGAACGTCACGTGGTGGGACGCTTGCACTGCAGCGGCAGCGGCGTGCTTATCTCCCGGCCTGGGTGAGAGTGTCCAAGAGGTCAGACGGTGAGATAGCGACGCCCACAATTTCTCCCGCAATTTCTCTGATTCTTTCTTCTTCTCTTTCGCTTTATTACCCATTTCCCTCACGCAAGATAATGTTTTGTTTACACTCGGCGAGAACGTGCGGGCCCGCCTCTGCACTCTCCGATAAGCCCCGGCACTCACTATCGAACTGCTTGTTTTGTTGCGCTCACAATTATCCACAAGTGGAAATGGAAGTTGTTGTGAAACTTGACTTATCGATTTCAAACGGTCACGAGCTCACGGCACAATGATCTGTTGTGTGGAACGCACCTGGGCTCTAGAGCCCGCATTTCGTGCAGTTGTTAAGCTTGAGCTGTCACCAAAAAGAAAGACAAAATAGCCGTGGCCCGTCGTTTTACAAACAACCCTCTAATCTTTGAGAAGGAAAGTAAAAATAAAAAATGAATTGCCCATTGTCTTCTCTTATTGATATAGATAACGTATGGACCCCCCGACAGGGGTTCAAGACGTTCAGCAAACAAATGCAGAGGAAAAACTTTTTTAACCATTTCCTTTTTAATGGAGCTGTTTAGTTGGGAGTTAATTTCGTGGATCAAACCAAAATATCTGAGCATATCTTTATTACTGGAATTTATAGAGTACTTCTTTGTCTCATCTAGTAAAACAGACATGGGATTTATCGTTATCCAA